TGTTTGTTCTGATTTTCATATTAAATTCTCTGAAAAATATACTAAGAACTGAGTAAAAGGGTGGAGTAAAACAAGAATTAGGAAATGTAATGAATACTCTGTGTTGTATCAAAAAGTTATGTCTACATGTATAGTTTTTGCAATGGAATGTGTATTTTACACTAGCCCATAGCTTTACAGAGTATATTTTAGGTGTTACTCACCCCACCCCTTATTTATTTACATGTGAGAGGAAGTCGATTATCAACAAAAGCAACGACAAAAAAACTACCCCAACTTTATTTTTCTATCAGGGGGGACTAAAAATAAGCTTAAAATAATCTACTATGCTACTAATTTTCAACTGTTACTTTGCCACAATACTTTCAAGTATACCCCCACCAACATTTAAAGTATGCTTTAATCATGGGGAAATAAATTATGATATGATAGTACTTGTGTGAAGGCTTTACTTCATTTCAATAATTTAACTAGAGCTTCTTTCAGTATAATTGAAAGTAAAAGAGTTTTATGTATGTTTTTGCTTTTCATTTTTTTTTAATTTAACGTAATGTTTTTTTTTTGGGGGGGGGGGGATAAAATTTCCTCCTCCTTCATTGTCACATAGGATTTGCCAAACTTATACAAGCTAAAAGTTGAAATGAAGGAAAAATTAATTTTTCCTATTAAAGATTTTTTAAACCTGATTGTTGCATGGTTTGCAATTAATTTCTAAAAACAAGTGGAATATCATTCTTTAAGCAAACATTAAAAGAAGGAATATTGAAAAGAAATTTTATTTACTTGACAATTAAAGAATCTCTTTTCAAACACAATTTTTGCATTGAAAGACTACGTGAATCGCTTAATCTTTAATTTCTAGCTTGAAAATGTTCATTGCAAGTCTGGCTGTTCTATTCGTCTTTACACCGGCTTATGTCTTCAGTCAAGGAACATAATTCATTAGCGTAATGATTTTTGATAATCAGTGTTATCGTAGTTCTCTACACATACGAGGTAAAGGAGGAGAGGGAACCAGACTGGCCTGTTTGTTTACATTCAGCTGCTGTACCAGATTAATTCTGATTCTGACAAAATCAGACCGTGGTATTAGGATTGAAAAAGACACTGTCAGTGTCTTATCATTTATATTGATAGTTTTAAAATAATTTTTTCATCAGAATATAAACGTGATTCATTTAAGAAATTCATTTTTACTTTTCAAATGGGCCCGGCTCTCTGTACTTCTGAGTACTTTGATTTTGACTTTTATGCCTGAGTTTTATGTTTTGGCTTGTGTTTTATTTTGCGAATAGATAAGTAGGTTTTTGAAAGTTGGGTGGATGCTAAACAGAGAAAAAACTTGGAACGGCCTAATTTCAGATATATGGTTACATCTGTTGGGAATATATTCAAAAGTATGTGACAAATTGTTATGGGTATAATTTCAAAAAGTAATGAAAATGTTCCAAATATCACTGCCCATTGCATTCATGATATGAGATAAATAAGTCACATTTTGCGTTGAAATCTTAAACTCTGATACATGTATCAAAATATTCCGCATATCTCGACATTAATTTCTTAAAGTTTGGATGAAAACCAGATAAGACTTTATTTCATAATCCTAACACGAGTTACTGAAAGTTATTAATAAACAAACACATTTTTTTCTTTTAAATAAAATTTTGACCATTGCAGTCGCGCGCAAGTAGCAACGGGGGTATGGGGTACGGTTTACATTAAAAGTTCGCCCCCCCCCCCAACCACCACACACACATACACACTTTTTGTTGCAGTATAGTCAAATTCGTGCACTATAGGGCAAAAGAATAATACAGCGCATTATGTTTGATTAAGAAAATTTGCCACTGAAAGAAGATTGAACCTACCCCCCCCCCTCCCTAACGGCGAAATTTGATTCGCGTTTCGACACCCCCCTCCCTTTTTAAATATTTCTCTAAATGGTAAATTTGTTTTTTTTTCTGTCTGAACCCTCCCCTTTCTTTTTCAAACGAGTTGTGCTGGGGGTACGAGTCAAATGGTTTTTTTTTTTGTTTTTTGTTTTTTTGTTTTTTTTTTGTTTTTTTTTTTTTGATATGTTTGGTTTGTTCGGAAGTAATAACTTGGGAAAAATGGTTTTGCTTAATATTTTCAGCGAAAGAGAGTCAAAATAGAGTGGTATATTATTACTTTATTAACAGCATCGCCTCATACAAAAAGCATTAACGTATGTTGGACGTAATTGCTCGTTATTGGATAAGACAATCGCATCGTAATGTGAAAGGCTTGTAAGTTATCAAGTTAATAAGCCATTGTGACGGAGGAAAATGAATAAATGACGGTTCGTGGCCAAAAAAAAAATTGTATTGCTTGTCAAAGAAAATTTGGTGGTTAAAAGTGCCCACAACTAAAAAAAAATACCCCCCAACTGAAATGGCTTCCTAAAGGCCTACCTCTCTTGCATAAAAATTCAATGGACCTTCAGATATCAGGACGCCAGATATCTAGATGCTTAAGTGTCCGGATGATTTTTCATTGGAACGAAAGTTTTTAACGTTATTTTGTCTTGTTTAACTGGTAATTCAGATATTCGGACGCCTCACATATCCGGAAAACTTGACTAGGAACCAATGCGTCCGGAGAAATGAGGCTCCGCTACCAGTATTCATTCATTTTCAGTTTCAAATAGATTTCGTCAAAATTTTAATGGAACTGTAATTTCGAACAGAAAAGTCAAGCACATTTAAGTGTACATATAATAAAAAGAGACAAGAACAGCACAATTCCTATTTCTATGATTAAATTATTCAATGTTATACACAAATATTTTTTTAGATCATAGTAGTGGTCCTTGTAAAAAATATACACATGTTGCCTTCAAGTTAAACAGGGTACAGGTGCCACAAAATGAAATATGGGAGTTAATGTGCAGAAATATTTGTAACCTATTTTAATTGTGATTTACGTTTCAAAAAAATAAGAAGTTAAAAGGCGGTTGCAATTTAAGGTATAAATTCAAAGAAAGTTTCAATTTAAGGTATATAAATACAGTGTAATTCATTTGTCCTTTATTTGCCTTTTTACTACGTTTCTATTCCATAACTTAGACAGGCGACGAAAATGAATTGTATAAACAATGGAAACCTAGAGCTTTAAACATTTTAAATAAAATATTCAAAAACGTAAAAATTTTAAAATCCGCTTGCATGGAAGAAGGGAATGTATATTTTTTTCAAGAATGTTTATAAAAGGAATAAACGTTGTTAAAAAACAAGTTTACATATCTTAGCGCATCTGAATTTATTTCTCAATTGAATTTTTTGGTGATACAGAAAATGCGTTGTGTTTTTTTTTTTATCGTAACAGTTATAGAGAATAAAGTTACGTGCGTGTGTGTTGGTGATTGAATATTGTCTCATAAGATTTTTTTAATATCGGGATCGATGTGCTTCTTGCGAGGGGTGTCCTTTTTTCCGCGCGGTGTCCTTCAGCATGGGATCTCTCTCTCTCTCTCTCTCTCTCTCTCTCTCTCTCTCTCTCTCTCTCTCTCTCTCTCTCTCTATATATATATATATATATATATATATTTCTTCTAATCTTAAAAGAGCTTTATATTTTCTATAAATTGAATTCGATTATTTTATATAAAAAGAATAAATTGTATGGATTTAAACAAATATTATTTTCCTACAGATTATGTTATAAACCGTTCCTAGATTCTGTCTAGACCCCCTTTTTATACACAATTACTAGATCTGCGCTGAAATTAGCATGAAATATCAATAACATACGTTATCCCTTTGGAATAGTTACATACTAGTTGCTTGAAAGAAAAAAAATTAAATACTTTCTCAAATTTTTAAGTCTGAAAACGATTGAGGTTATTCAAATAACATGTAAATTTAAGATTTTTTGAAAATTGAATTAGACGCAGGCGACGCCATTAAGTTTACAGTGTGTAACGTTAAGGTTATTTTTGGAGCGCCTCACTAAAATGCTTATGAAATTCCGAAAAAGTTAAATATTTTCAAATTAAAATATATTTGCATCCAGAAAGAGTCTGACTATCAAAATTTTCAAAAAAGTCAATTTGGAAAAAATTGACCTTAAGTGCCCTTTTCTCATGACGGCAGTTGATTAATAATATCAATTAGTCAATCAGCAGAGAAGTATTCCTTCTGAGTGACATGATATTTTTTTTTCTTATTTACTATTTATCTCGGTAATGAAGAGAACAAAAAAAAAAATACAGTAAGTATAATTCTAGTTTTTTGGAAACTAACTTCCGATTTCCATCGGCATCAAAAGTTTTTTGGTCTTGTCTATATGTTCAAATTTAAACATAGGGTTTTTCCCAGTAAATTTTAAAAAATTAATTTCCACGTATATTTTTGTTACATAGATATTTTACAACAAAATGGAATTCGTCATCAGTTTCATATATTTACAATTCACTCAATCTGTTTTCTCTTAGAATATTTTTATTGAATCCATTTTCTATAGCTAAACTATATGAAAACAGTCTTGTATTGCTAATTTGATTTTTTTAAATAAATTTATGGAATAGGATTTATGTATTCTTCTGCTTATATGAAAGCTCACTGCAGCTTGTTTTTGCTAATTTTGTAAAAGTCAAATGAAACACTTTCAAAGAGATGAATAATGTTATTTACTAAATTGACGGTATAAATGTAAACAATTTAACAAACAAGAAGGAGATCCGATTCACAAGCTTTGATTAGCAGTTACGTAAAATATGATAATGTATGATCCCCCGAAACTGACTAGAAAAAAGTATCTGTAAGTCAAGGCAATGAAAACATCATATGAAAAAGTAAGCAAAAAGATGGCACATCAAAACAAAATAGGCCGGATTTGTCAAATAATATTTGAAAATTTGACCTTAAGGGCCCTTTTCTCATGACGGCAGTCAATTAATGATATTTATTAGTCACTCAGCAGAGAAGTATTCCTTCTGAGTCACATGGTATTTATTTTCTTATTTTCTATTTATCTAGGTAATGAAGAGAACAAAAAAGATTTTGGTAAGTATAATTGTAGTTTTTTGGAAACTAACCAAATTTAAACATAGGGTTTTTTCCAGTATATTTTTAAAAATTGATATACACGTAGATTTTTGTTACATGGATATTTTAAAACAAAATGGAATTCGTCATCAGTTTCACATATTTACAATTCACTCAATCGGTTTTCGCTAAGAATATTTTTATTGAATCTATTTTCTATAGCTTAACTATATGAAACAAGTCTTGTATTGTTAATTTTTTTTTATAAATGTATGGAATAGGATTTGTCAAATAATATTTGAAAATTTGACCTTAAGGGCCCGTTTCTCATGAAGGCAGTCAATTAATAATATTAATTAGTCACTCAGCAGAGAAGTATTCCTTCTGAGTCACATGGTAATTTTTTTTATTTTCTATTTTTCTAGGTAATGAAGAGAACAAAAAAGATTACGGTAAGTATAATTGTAGTTTTTTGGAAACTAACTTCCGATTTCCATCGGCAGCAAAAGTTTTTTTTGACTTGTCTTTATGTCCAAATTTAAGCATAGGGTTTTCCCAGTAAATGTAAAAAAATAATTTACACGTAGATTTTTGTTACATGTATGTTTTAAAACAAATTGGAATTCGTCATCAGTTTCATATATTTCCAATTCACTCAATAGGTTTTCGCTAAGAATATTTTTATTGAATCCATTTTCTATAGTTAAACTATATGAAAACAGTCTTGTTTTGCTAATTTGATTTTTTTAAATAAATTTATGGAATAGGATTTATGTTTTCTTCTGCTTATATGAATGCTCACCGCAGCTTGTTTTTGCTCATTTTGTATAAGTCAAATGAAACACTTTCAAAAAGATGAATAATGTCATTTATTAAATTGACGGTATAAATGTAAACAATTTAACAAACAAGAAGGGGATCAGATTCACAAGCATTGATTAGCAGTTACGTAAAATATGGTATTTTTTTTCTCTTATTTTCTATTTATCTAGGTAATGAAGAGAACAAAAAAGATTACGGTAAGTATAATTGTAGTTTTTTGGAAACTAACCAAATTTAAACATAGGGTTTTTTCCAGTATATTTTTAAAAATTGATATACACGTAGATTTTTGTTACATGGATATTTTAAAACAAAATGGAATTCGTCATCAGTTTCACATATTTACAATTCACTCAATCGGTTTTCGCTAAGAATATTTTTATTGAATCTATTTTCTATAGCTTAACTATATGAAACAAGTCTTGTATTGTTAATTTTTTTTTATATAAATGTATGGAATAGGATTTGTCAAATAATATTTGAAAATGTGACCTTAAGGGCCCGTTTCTCATGACGGCAGTCAATTAATAATATTTATTAGTCACTCAGCAGAGAAGTATTCCTTCTGAGTCACATGGTATTTTTTTTCTTATTTTCTATTTATCTAGGTAATGAAGAGAACAAAAAAGATTACGGTAAGTATAATTGTAGTTTTTTGGAAACTAACTTCCGATTTCCATCGGCATCAAAAGTTTTTTTGGACTTGTCTATATGTCCAAATTTAAACATAGGGTTTTATCCAGTAAATTTAAAAAAATTAATTTACATGTTGATTTTTGTTACATAGATATTTTAAAACAAAATGGAATTCGTCATCAGTTTCACATATTTACAATTCACTCAATCGGTTTTCGCTAAGAATATTTTTAGTGAATCAATTTTCTATAACTAAACTTTATGAAAACAGTCTTGTATTGCTAATTTGATTTTTTTTATTTATAAATGTATGGAATAGGATTTGTCGAATAATATTTGAAAATTTGACCTTAAGAGCCCGTTTCTCATGACGGCAGTCAATTAATGATATTAATTAGTCACTCAGCAGAGAAGTATTCCTTCTGAGTCACATGGTATTTATTTTCTTATTTTCTATTTATCTAGGTAATGAAGAGAACAAAAAAGATTACGGTAAGTATAATTGTAGTTTTTTGGAAACTAACCAAATTTAAACATAGGGTTTTTTCCAGTATATTTTTAAAAATTGATATACACGTAGATTTTTGTTACATGGATATTTTAAAACAAAATGGAATTCGTCATCAGTTTCACATATTTACAATTCACTCAATCGGTTTTCGCTAAGAATATTTTTATTGAATCTATTTTCTATAGCTTAACTATATGAAACAAGTCTTGTATTGTTAATTTTTTTTTTTTTTATAAATGTATGGAATAGGATTTGTCAAATAATATTTGAAAATTTGACCTTAAGGTCCCGTTTCTCATGACGGCAGTCAATTAATAATATTAATTAGTCACTCAGCAGAGAAGTATTCCTTCTGAGTCACATGGTATTTTTTTTTTCTTATGTTCTATTTTTCTAGGTAATGAAGAGAACAAAAAAGATTACGGTAAGTATAATTGTAGTTTTTTGGAAACTAACTTCCGATTTCCATCGGCAGCAAAAGTTTTTTTTGACTTGTCTTTATGTCCAAATTTAAACATAGGGTTTTCCCAGTAAATGTAAAAAAATAATTTACACGTAGATTTTTGTTACATGTATGTTTTAAAACAAATTGGAATTCGTCATCAGTTTCATATATTTCCAATTCACTCAATAGGTTTTCGCTAAGAATATTTTTATTGAATCCATTTTCTATAGTTAAACTATATGAAAACAGTCTTGTTTTGCTAATTTGATTTTTTTAAATAAATTTATGGAATAGGATTTATGTTTTCTTCTGCTTATATGAATGCTCACCGCAGCTTGTTTTTGCTCATTTTGTATAAGTCAAATGAAACACTTTCAAAAAGATGAATAATGTCATTTATTAAATTGACCGTATAAATGTAAACAATTTAACAAACAAGAAGGGAATCAGATTCACAAGCATTGATTAGCAGTTACGTAAAATATGGTATTTTTTTTCTCTTATTTTCTATTTATCTAGGTAATGAAGAGAAGAAAAAGAATTACAGTAAGTATAATTCTAGTTTTTTTGGAAACTAACTTCCGATTTCCATCGGCATCAAAAGTTTTTTTTGGACTTGTCTATGTGTCCAAATTTAAACATAGGATTTTTCCCAGTAAATGTAAAAAAAAATTAATTTACACGTAGATCTTTGTTACATGGATATTTTTAAACAAAATGGAATTCGTCATCAGTTTCACATGTTTCCAATTCACTCAATCGGTTTTCGCTAAGAATATTTTTATTGAATCCATTTTCGAATTCTCTTCGCGATCCACTTCAGTCGGCATATCGTCCCAGGCACTTCACGGAAATGGCCCTCATCAAGGTCCACAACGATATTGTGACAGCCCTAGACCAACAATCTTCAGCAGTCCTTTGCCTTCTGGATTTATCCGCTGCCTTTGAAGTTATTGACCATAATATATTGTTCGAACGCCTAACTGTTTCTTATGGTTTCCGTGATGGAGCTCTTGAGTGGATCAAGTCTTACCTCAAGAACAGAAAACAATGTGTCACAGTTTAGACAGCTGCCTTTTGGTGTTCCCCAAGGATCTGTACTCTGACCGAAATTGTGTTGCCTCTTCTCCAAACCCATTGGAATCATATGCCACCGACATGGAATGATATATCACTGCTATGCAGATAATACACAAATCTACATGATCATAAGACCAATAGAAAATTGGAACAATTACTTCTCTCGACTTGAAGCCTGTCTTAGTGAAATTGGTTCATGGATGACATCAAACCTACTCAAACTTAACCAAGAAAAGACCGAGCTAATAATTTTCATTTTCAAAGCAACACCAGAAGTATCTGCCAACATTACAACTAGAAGTTGGTGATAATATCATTGAAAGCATGCCATGTGTAAAAAATCTAGGTGCATTTTTCGATCAACACCTTACTATGGAAAAACAGGTATCCTCGGTCGTCAAGTCATGCTATTTTCAAATAAGCAATATTGGACGAATACGGCGCTTTCTTACAAAAGAAGCCTGCAAAACCATGGTCAATGCCGTTATCACTGCCAGGCTGGACTATGGGAACTGCCTTCTATATGGAGTGTCAAAGGCCTTACTAGACCGGATTCAAAAAGTCCAGAACACGGCAGCTCGCTTAGTTACAAGTTCATCGAAACGGGAGCATATTACACCTATCCTAGCTGATCTTCATTGGCTACCTGTTTTTTTCGTCCACAATATAATACCTTGACATATGTCTACCAATCCTTACACGCGTTAGCTCCATCGTATATCAAAGATCTTATAATGGAATACAAGCCTACCAGATCACTGCGATCTGAGTCAACATCACGGTTAGTTGTTCCTAAGATCAGGACGAAGACATATGGTGAACGTCGACTTGGTTGGGCAGCAGCATTTTTGTGGAACGACCTTCCTAATGATATAAAGCAGGCCCAGTTCCTGGATATTTTCAAAAGACAATTAAAGACGCATTTTTATAGAATAGCTTTATAAATTTCAGGTGCTCAATTTTTAGCAGCAGATCATAAATCACAAATGATGTTCTTTAATTGAATTTTATTGATGGTTTACTTGTATTTTGTTATGTAATTTGTAGTATTTTAATGTTATAATTTCGAACACATATATGAGTATGGGTTAATATTTTATATAAGTTTTCATAGCTTTTAAATTATGTTTACTTGCGTTTTATTGTACAGCGCTTTAGCGTTAAATTATGAATTTTTAGCGCTTTATAAATTCATATATTATTATTATTATTATTATTATTATTATAGCTAAACTATTTGAAAACAGTCTTGTATTGCTAATTTGATTTTTTTTTTGGATAAATTTATGGAATAGGATTTATGTTTTCTTCTGCTTATATGAATGCTCACCGCAGCTTGTTTTTGCTAATTTTGTATAAGTCAAATGAAACACTTTCAAAGAGATGAATAATGTCATTTATTAAATTGACGGTATAAATGTAAACAATTTAACAAACAAGAAGGGGATCAGATTCACAAGCTTTGATAAGCAGTTACGTAAAATATGGTATTTTTTTTCTCTTATTTTCTATTTATCTAGGTAATGAAGAGAACAAAAAAAATCACGGTAAGTATAATTGTATTTTTTGGAAAATAACTTCCGATTTTCATCGGCATCATAAGTTTTTTTTGGAGTTGTCTTTATGTCCAAATTTAAACATAGGGTTTTTTCCAGTGAATTTTTAAAAATTGATTTACACGTAGGTTTTTGTTACATAGATATTTTTAAACAAAATGGAATTCGTCATCAGTTTCACATATTTACAATCACTCAATCGGTTTTCGCTAAGAATATTTTTATTGAATCTTTTTTCTTTAGCTAAACTATATGAAAACAGTCTTGTATTGCTAATTCGATTTTTTTTTTATAAATGTATGGAATAGGATTTGTCAAATAATATTTGAAAATTTGACCTTAAGGGCCCTTTACTCATGACGATAGTCAGTTAATAATATTAATTAGTCACTCAGCAGAGAAGTATTCCTTCTGAGTCACATGTATCTTTTTTCTTATGTTCTATTTTTCTAGGTAATGAAGAGAACAAAAAAAATTACGGTGAGTATAATTGTAGGTTTTTTGGACACTAACTTCCGATTTCCATCGGCATCAAAAGTTTTTATTGGACTTGTATAATTGTCCAAATTTAAACATAGGGTTTTTTCCAGTAAATGTTTAATAAATTGATTTACACGTAGTTTTTTGTTACATAGATATTTCAAAACAAAATGGAATTCGTCATCAGTTTCACATATTTACAATTCACTCAATCGGTTTTCGCTAAGAATATTTTTATTGAATCTTTTTTCTTTAGCTAAACTATATGAAAACAGTCTTGTATTGCTAATTTGATTTCTTTTTTATAAATGTATGGAATAGGATTTGTCAAATAATATTTGAAAATTTGACCTTAAGGGCCCTTTACTCATGACGATAGTCAATTAATAATATTAATTAGTCACTCAGCAGAGAAGTATTCCTTCTGAGTCACATGGTATTTTTTTTCTTATTTTCTATTTATCTAGGTAATGAAGAGAACAAACAAAATCACGGTAAGTATAATTGTAGTTTTTTTTGGAAAATAACATCCGATTTCCATCGGCATCAAAAGTTTTTTTTTTGGACTTGTCGATATGTCCAAATTCAAACATAGGGTTTTTCCAGTAAATTTTTAAAAATTGATTTACACGTAGTTTTTTGTTACATGGATATTTTTAAACAAAATGGAATTCGTCATCAGTTTCACAAATTTACAACGCAGCATTGTTAAGGCTTGAATAAGTGAGCTAGGCTTAATTTATACGGGAAAAGTTTACTGTGATGTCACACAAAAATATGACGTTAATGAATTTCTCATTATACCTGAAATGAAATAGTTTGCAACTTTTTTAACTTTATTAGCATGATAAACAACAATGAAACTTATCAATGCATTTAAAAAAAACTTGCTAATTAAATCCCATGTAGCTGGTTTTAGACCAAGCACTGATCGCGATGAACTTGTAAAAATGACGTCATCTGGTAAAAATGACGTATTTCATGTTCTGTGAGAGGCAGATTGAGGAATTTTTTAACAATGAAAAATGCGTTTATTATTACATGGAAAATTATTGATCAGGTTTTAAATAGTCGATTAATACCAATGTATATCCTTTGTTTAGTGCGATTATTCATTAACTATGAAGAGAATGTATTTAATTAATTATGTTGTGTTTTAATGTGCAGTTTACGCATATTTCACAATGAGATACCTCATAAAATCGTACTTTCGCAAGGGCATACACTTAATAGATCCAACCATTTTTCAAATAAAGATAAAGGATATTTTTCTCAACCTGAAAAGTGCTGCTGCTTTCTTTAAATCGAGGGCGTGATTTTATAAGTAAACAAAATATTTGGTGAAAGTCAAACATATTTCTACATTGGCTTATTTGCCTGAAAATTAAACTATTAAAACGCGAATTCTATTCAAAGCTGTAGTACTTTTCAGAAAGTACAAAGTATGCAAAAGCAATTAATAGCTTAATTTTTTAATTTCAACTAGGACATGCCCTTGCGATATTGAAATTTGTTCATGACCTACATTCAGTACACTAACTGTGCAGTCATCACGTGACTGTCCATCGATGGGACCAATCTTCATACTGTACAGAGTGTGTTATACTATGCCATTTCCATAAGTATTTGAGTTCTGTGATAATAAAACAGCTTAATTTAAAAAAATTCAGTTTTAAAAAGGTCCCCCTTTTTGCACGTCTATTTTCCGTTGATTTCTCATAGTAGGCCTTAACAGTGCTGCGAATTCACTCAATCGGTTTTCGCTAAGAATATTTTTATTGAATCTTTTTTCTTTAGTTTAACTATATGAAAACAGTCTTGTATTGCCTTATATTGTCTTATAAATGTATGGAATAGGATTTGTCAAACAAGACTTCCAATTTCCATCGGCATCAAAAGTTTTTTTTTTTGGACTTGTCTATATGTCCAAATTTAAACATAGGGTTTTTCCCAGTAAATTTTTAAAGATTAAATTACACGTAGATTTTTGTTACATGGATATTTTAAAACAAAATGGAATTCGTCATTAGTTTCACATATTAACAATTCACTCAATCGGTTTTCGCTATTCGAATATTTTTATTGAATCCATTTTCTATAGCTAAACTATATGAAAACAGTCTTGTATTGCTAATTTGATTTTTTTTTATAAATGTATGGAATAGGATTTGTCAAATAATATTTCAGTGTAAAGTGGTCAATAATGTTCTTATATAACATACATCTGGATGAACTGTTGATATCTGCAAGGAGGTAAAAATATGTAAATGGATGTCAATAATTCTAGATCTTTGATTTTATAATCAAGAATTGGCTGTTACAACTAATTCTTTCTTTATTAGTCCACAAGTATCCCAGTCCCTGGATATTTTCAAAAGACAATCAAAGACGCATTTTTATAGAATAGCTTTATAAATTTCAGGTGCTCAATTTTTAGCAGCAGATCATAAATCACAAATGATGTTCTTTTATTGAGTTTTATTGATGGTTTACTTGTATTTTGTTATGTAATTTGTAGTATTTTAATGTTATAATTTCGAACACATATATGAGTATGGGTTAATATTTTATATAAGTTTTCATAGCTTTTAAATTATTTTTACTTGCGTTTTATTGTACAGCGCTTTAGAGTTAAATTATGAATTTTTAGCGCTTTATAAATTCATATATTATTATTATTATTATTATTATTATTATTATTATCATTATTATTATAGCTAAACTATTTGAAAACAGTCTTGTATTGCTAATTTGATTTTTTTTTTTTGATAAATTTATGGAATAGGATTTATGTTTTCTTCTGCTTATATGAATGCTCACCGCAGCTTGTTTTTGCTAATTTTATATAAGTCAAATGAAACACTTTCAAAGAGATGAATAATGTCATTTATTAAATTGACGGTATAAATGTAAACAATTTAACAAACAAGAAGGGGATCAAATTCACAAGCTTTGATTAGCAGTTACGTAAAATATGGTATTTTTTTCTCTTATTTTCTATTTATCTAGGTAATGAAGAGAACAAAAAAAATCACGGTAAGTATAATTGTATTTTTTGGAAAATAACTTCCGATTTTCATCGGCATCATAAGTTTTTTTGGAGTTGTCTTTATGTCCAAATTTCAACATAGGGTTTTTTTCCAGTAAATTTTTAAAAATTGATTTACACGTAGATTTTTGTTACATGGATATTTTTAAACAAAATGGAATTCGTCATCAGTTTCACATATTTACAATTCACTCAATCGGTTTTCGCTAAGAATATTTTTAGTGAATCTTTTTTCTTTAGCGAAACTATATGAAAACAGTCTTGTATTGCTAATTCGATTTTTTTTTTTATAAATGTATGGAATAGGATTTGTCAAATAATATTTGAAAATTTGACCTTAAGGGCCCTTTACTCATGACGATAGTCAAATAATAATATTAATTAGTCACTCAGCAGAGAAGTATTCCTTCTGAGTCACATGGTATTTATTTTCTTATTTTCTATTTATCTAGGTAATGAAGAGAACAAAAAAAATTACGGTAACTATAATTGTAGTTTTTTGGAAACTAACTTCCGATTTCCATCGGCATCAAAAGATTTTATTGGACTTGTATATTTGTCCAAATTTAAACATAGGGTTTTTTGCAGTAAATTTTTAAAAAATTGATTTACACGTAGTTTTTTGTTACATAGATATTTCAAAACAAAATGGAATTCGTCATCAGTTTCACATATTTACAATTCACTCAATCGGTTTTTGCTAAGAATATTTTTATTGAATCTTTTTTCTTTAGCTAAACTATATGAAAACAGTCTTGTATTGCTAATTTGATTTTTTTTTTAATAAATGTATGGAATAGGATTTGTCAAATAATATTTGAAAATTTGACCTTAAGGGCCCTTTACTCATGACGACAGTCAATTAATAATATTAATTAGTCACTCAGCAGAGAAGTATTCCTTCTGAGTCACATGGTATTTTTTTTCTTATTTTCTATTTATCTAGGTAATGAAGAGAACAAACAAGATCACGGTAAGTATAATTGTAGTTTTTTAGGAAGATAACATCCGATTTCCATCGGCATCAAAAGTTTTTTTTTTGGACTTGTCGATATGTCCAAATTTAAACATAGGGTTTTCCAGTAAATTTTTAAAAATTGATTTACACGTAGTTTTTTGTTACATGGATATTTTTAAACAAAATGGAATTCGTCATCAGTTTCACAAATTTACAACGCAGTATTGTTAAGGCTTGAATAAGTGGGCTAGGCCTAATTTATACGGGAAAAGTTTACTGTGACGTCACACAAAAATATGACGTTAATGAATTTCTCACTATACCTGAAATGAAATAGTTTGCAACTTTTAACTTTATTAGCATGATAAACAACAATGAAACTTATCAATGCATTTAAAAAAACTTGCTAATTAAATCCCATGTAGCTGGTTTTAGACAAAGCACTGATCGCGATGAACTTGTAAAAATGACGTCATCTGGTAAAAATGACGTATTTCATGTTCTGTGAGAGGCAGATTGAGAAATTTTTTAACAATGAAAAATGCGTTTATTATTACATGGAAAATTATTGATCAGGTTTTAAATAGTCGATTAATACCAATGTATATCCTTTGTTTAGTGCGATTATTCATTAACTATGAAGAGAATGTATTTAATTAATTATGTTGTGTTTTAATGTGCAGTTTACGCATATTTCACAATGAGATACCTCATAAAATCGTACTTTCGCAAGGGCATACACTTAATAGATCCTAACCATTTTTCAAATAAAGATAAAGGATATTTTTCTCAACCTGAAAAGTGCTGCTGCTTTCTTTAAATCGAGGGCGTGATTTTATAAGTACACAAAATATTTGGTGAAAGTCAAACATATTTCTACATTGGCTTATTTACCTGAAATTAAACTATTAAAACGCGAATTCTATTCAAAGCTGTAGCACTTTTCAGAAAGTACAAAGTATGCAAAAGCAATTAATAGCTTAATTTTTTAATTTCAACTAGGACATGCCCTTGCGATATTGAAATTTGTTCATGACCTACATTCAGTACACTAACTGTGCAGTCATCATGTGACTGTCCATTGATGGGACCAATCTTCATACTGTACAGAGTGTGTTATACTATGCCATTTCCATAAGTATTTGAGTTCTGTGATAATAGAACAGCTAAATTAAAATAAATTTAGTTTTAAAAAGGTCCCCCTTTTTGCACGTCTATTTTCCGTTGATTTCTCATAGTAGGCCTTAACAGTGCTGCGAATTCACTCAATCGGTTTTCGCTAAGAATATTTTTATTGAATCTTTTTTCTTTAGTTTAACTATATGAAAACAGTCTTGTATTGCTAATTCGATTTTTTGTCTTATAAATGTATGGAATAGGATTTGTCAAACAATACTTCCAATTTCCATCGGCATCAAAAGTTTTTTTTTTTTGGGACTTGTCTATATGTCCAAATTTAAACATAGGGTTTTTCCCAGTAAATTTTTAAAGATTAAATTACACGTAGATTTTTGTTACATGGATATTTTAAAACAAAATGGAATTCGTCATTAGTTTCACATATTAACAATTCACTCAATCGGTTTTCGCTATTCGAATATTTTTATTGAATCCATTTTCTATAGCTAAACTATATGAAAACAGTCTTGTATTGCTAATTTGATTTTTTATTTTTATAAATGTATGGAATAGGATTTGTCAAATAATATTGCAGTGTAAAGTGGTCAATAATGTTCTTATATAACATACATCTGGATGAACTGTTGATATCTGCAAGGAGGTAAAAATATGTAAATGGATGTCAATAATTCTAGATCTTTGATTTTATAATCAAGAATTGGCTGTTACAACTAATTCTTTCTTGATTAGTCCACAAGTATCCTAACCCAATTTCAAATGATATATCTTTAACATAAGACTCCCAGTTCGTTCTTATTCTTTTGTTGGAAAAACGCGACTTTCAATTTTTATAGTTTTGTATTTGTTTGGGACATTTTTTGTATATAGCGTTAGCTTGCAATACAATAACTCCAAAATATTGTCATTATACTTTTCTTTTGATTTAAGGACAGATGATACAAAAGAAAAAAAAACTTTTGTCACAAATTTTGAAAATAACAACTTAGGCCATGTCTTGTTAAATAAGATAAAAAAAATATACCGCGTTTTCCTAATTTTATTCTTGAATATTAAGCTTCAATTTGTTAAAAATGTTATTGATGAAACTTTTCTAAAAATTTTAAAGATATTTGCTTTTTCCAGAGGCCACATTAATCCAACGATGCATGGCATTCATCAAGACGCATAGTAAGTTGTCCAAAGAAAATTTGCAATTACTGAGACCGAATACCCGATAAGGAAATGGAAAAAAAAGATCAAAGAATTTAAATGCTTTTCAAAGCATATATTTTTTTTTTATAAAATAGATTAATTTAAATCATAAAGAAGATTCAACACTATGATTACACATAGCTTACAAGGGATGATGGAAAGATTATATTTTCATGAGCTTTCATTCATGAATGCTGTTTTTACATTGTAAACTGTCTATGAAGCATTTCTCTAATCAAGTTGTAATCTTAGCAATCATACAAAAAAGTATCGTTTCGAAGCCCACCTCATGGTAGTTAAAGTGCAAATTTGTTTTTTTTTTAAAAGATGACAATAACAAACGGTATGCGGTCGAAAAATCTAAAAGTAGCTCAAATTTCCAAACAAGACACAAAAGGTTACCCTCAGAAAAAATCTTAAGCGGTAAAGAATTGAAAGCATTGACAATCTTATTCAAGCTACATTTATTCCAATGGTTATAAAGTTTTTATGAATGTGGAAAACGATAGAAACCGTATATAGAATTAAACAGCAGAGTAATTTTGAGAAACTTTCTTGACTTTGTTTCTGACATAAGAGCTGAGATCTACACCATGCATGCGCTGAAAGAAATGTCACAATTATTGTTCGATATCTTCTAAATTTGTAATGAAAAGAGAGAAGGTAATGAATAGTATTTAGTCTACAAAAATCGTACGATGTATAAATCTGTGAAGGGGTAAAACAAAAACAGGGACCTTTGAAAATGGTGAATATTTTGGACACCATTGAATGCCTGAAAAAAAATATTTCGATCACGGTAAATGTTATTTGATAAATAGAATCTTTTTTTAATTTCAATTTTAATTTATACTTATTTCTGATAATGATTTCTTTTATTGGCTATTAAAAAAATATTGATATGAATGCTGAATCACTCGTTATCTTTATAATTTTAATTTTTTTAGAAGGATATTTTTTTTAAATTTTTCTTTCCAAAAGACATTGATAAAAACGTCAAGTTATATATTATATTTTAAAATTCAAATTTATTTTAAGAAGTTTCGCTTTTGTTTCAAAGTTTGTCTTATGCAACCAACACATATTTTTCACGTAGTATTATTCATTCATAGACAAGGGTAGATCGTTTATAAAAGATTGAATTCATGTTGTTGAATCAAGTACTGTAAACCAACTTTTATTCGCGTGCGAGGAATTTTCGCAAAGTTCTCGAGAGCCTTGTCATCGCATATATTTTTGCCGTGAATCGGTCGTTAAAGTCTGTGTACATTAATAACAAATCTAAAATCGGCTTGATCGCGAAAATTAAACATCGCGAACTAGTTTCCCCTGGTTAATCGCGAAATAAAGTCGTCGCGAATAAAAGTTACAGTAATTCTTTTTCCTAAAACCTCATTCAATTATTAATACAAATGTACCAGTAAAAGGAAACTGTACAATCATTTTTTTTCCGATACGAATTTCTTAATTTACAATTAAATCTATATCCTAATTTCTGTTCTATTTATTCTGAAATCTTATTCCATTTCATCTATCAACAAACTGTAATTTAGTTTTTACCTATTTTTAAAGCCATGTGCATTATATGTCCTATGAGAAGCTTAATCACGATCAAAATGCATTCACAAAATACAAATTCTGAGGTTTTTAGCTTACCTGAGCTAAAAGCTCAAGTGATCACATTTTGTCTGTAGTCCGTCTGTCCGTCTTTCCTTCCGTCCGTCCGTGTGTAATCTTTTCACATTTTCAACTTCTGCTTAGGTATCACTGGGCCAGCTTTAACCAAACTTGCCAAAATGCATTCTTTGGTGAAGGGAATTCAAATTCAAACCAAGTCCTCTTCCAAGGGGAGATAATTATGAATTAATGAAAAATTAATGGCATAATTTAAAATCGTCTTCTTCGGAACCATTGGACCAGAAAAGATGAAACTCATATGAAAGCATCCTTAGGTAGTATAGATTCAAGTTTGTTCAAATCATGACACTCAGGAATAGGACGGGGATGCAATGGCTGATTACAGTTTTAATATGAATATATAGAAAAAGTCTTTAAAAATCTTTTTCTCCAGAACCATTGGACAAGGAGAGATTAAACTAATATATATAAGAATCCTCATCAAAGATCAGGGTAGTGTAGATTTAATTTTATTCAAATCATTACCCCCCAGGGATAGGGCGTGGTCAAAATGGATGATCAAAGTTTAACATAGAAATATATAGGAAAAATCAGGTCATGGTCCCCGGGATTAGGGTGTGGCCACAATGAGGGATCAAAATTTTGCATTGGAATATATTAAAAAGAAATTGTATAGTCAAATTGACATGTAAGAATCTGAAAGTAGTAAAGATTCAAATTTATTTAAATAATGGTGTTGGAATTTTGGTGGTGGGTGGGCTTAGCGATGAGTCCAAATCTACTTATGAGCCCGCCTGGGGCGAAAGCGCTTTAGATAAAAGTTTGAGTTTATCATTTGACTTAGGAATATATATATATATATATATATATATATATATATATATATATATATATATATATATATATATATATATATATATATATAAAGCACTAAAATGACCAACGACACGAACAATAAAAAAAAATTGTTCGTGTCGTTTGTCATTTTAGTGCTTTATATGAATTTCCATCCGTGACCTTGTATATACTTGGTAGATCCGACATTTAGGATATACAGTGTTGTTGGTTTGTTAGTGCTTTATATATATATATATATATATATATATATATATATATATATATATTTCAAAAAAGGTAAAAAAGAAAACACAAAAATCCTCAGTTAAGCTTTAGCGCTAAAGCTTAACTGAGGATTTTTGTGTTTTCTTTTTTACCTTTTTTGAAATATTGTTATCCGATTACTGAGACATTATTTAAATTTTGGATATATATATATATATATATATATATATATATATATATATATATATATATATATATATATATATATATATATATATATATATATATATAAATCAAAATTAAATCCAAGATAAACAAACAAGTTTACGTTTAATTTTTTACACTAAGCGCTTTCGCCGTTACGGCTCTTCAGAGTGTAACAATGATAATAAAAACAATACAACTTCGTTGTTATGACGTCGTTATTATGACGTCACAAAGGCAGCGTTATACATTGGCACAGGTAAATGTTAAAAAGCGCCAAATGTGTAGTGTTAAATACATGTACATTGTAATAAAATGGACCATTTCTTTAGAGCTAAAATGTTCAATTTACATTTAATTTAGGCTGAAATAATTTAACAAAATAATCTTCCTTGGCCCTCCATAATTGTTCATTATCTTCTCTGATTTTATAAAATGGAAATATCAAAAAGTTTCCATTCGCACATGAATCAAAATGTTCACTGCAAGGTGTATTCCTGACGGAGGGGTCTCGTATTTGTTGTTTATGGACTCTTACACGGTCAGCTAGTTTGTTACCGGTCTGTCCAATATAGTTTTCCCCGCATGAAGTACAAATCATACAGTATATTAAATTTCTAGTTTTGCATGACATATTCGCATTGACGGTAAACGTTTTACCACATTTAAATGTAAACTTTTCTCCGGTTTTTAAATAAGGGCAGGTTCCTCACAGGGGATCCATACATTTGGTTACAGTGCGTTTTTCCTCATCCGATGAGAATCTGGCTCTTGTTAGGAGTTTCTTTAGCTTTGGAGGTTGGCGTCGGCTATAGATGATGCTCTTCGGATCAATTAATTCCTTTAAATTTTGGGATTGCTGTAAAAAAGGAAAACACTGTTTTACGGAGTTATATATATTAAGGTTCCGTGGGTTATGGGTAACGACCAGCGGGATTTCCTTATTGTTTTCCTGGCGACCTCGTCTAGTAGAACGGAGATCTGCTGTCGGTATTGACTTGGCCTTTTCAATTGCTATATCTATTAAGTCGTTAGGATATTTTTGTCTGAGCAAAAATGTTTTTAATTCCTGTAGACGGCCATTTCTCCTGGTTTCATCTATGACAATGGTACAAACACGTCTTGTCATATTAAAAGGTATGTTACGTTTAACGTGTGACGGGTGGCAAGAATTAAATAGGAGATATTGGTGGGAATCCGTTTTCTTGTAGTATAAATCTGTTATGATTTTGCGACCATCCTTAATTATAAAAATATCTAAAAAGGGTAGTTCGAACCTGCTCTTTTCCAAGGTAAATTTAATAGAAGGATGTAGATTGTTAAGAATGGTATGGTATTCTTGTAAATCCTCAGTAGATTTTGTCCAAAAAATGAAACAATCATCTAAGTATCGTTTCCAATTAAATCGTATGTATTGCGCAAAAGGATTTCCAAATCGTCTCTCTGTTTCGTTGAACAGGTTTTCTTCTAAAAAACTGAGAACTAGGGTGGCATAGGTTGGGGCAACTTTCGTGCCCATCGTTGTTCCCTTAATTTGTAGAAAATTTCTCCCGTCAAAAACAAAATGATTATTCTCTAATACAATTTTTATTCCTTCTAGAATAAAGTCTTTAGAAAATCTTTCATGAATTTGATTGTGGTATTTGTCAATCCAAAAAGCGATTGCTTCTAGTCCAAGTGTATGCGGTATGTTGGTATAGAGGCTCGTTACATCAAAACTAACCATCTCAGTATTTAGTTCAACTGTATCTGGAATGTGCCCGAGAAAATCCAAATCATCCCTCACATAACTTGGTACAAGTTGGCATAGAGGCTTTAGAAGTATATCCAACAAGTTACTGATTCTGTGCGTGGGGCATGCAGGGCCTGCTACAATTGGTCTAAGTTTTAAATCCGTTGGTCGAGGTAATTTTATATATAATGAGTTTTTACCTTCAAGTCCGTCCTGTATTTCTTTGGATTTGTGGATCTTTGGTAAACCATAAAAGTTACTAGATTTAATTTCAAAATTGGTTAAATAATCCACTTCCTTTTTGGTTAAATTATCTGCAAAATTAGTTGTAAATTTCTTA